ATTTTTTTCCCCCATTTTGTCTCTCATAGTTGAGGTATACCTATGATGACAATCACAGGCCTCTCTCATCTTTTTAATTGGGAGAAATTGGCCATTTGCTGGCTGACTAAATACTTTTTTGCCCCACTGTATATGTTGCAGTACTGAAGGTCAGATACTTGTCAAACCAGATATTTAAGTGTTCAGTATCATGTGTAGCAATATAAGTAAAGGAAATCATATAAGTCCTTCACGTTTCCAGATAAATAAGGAAATAATAGTTCTTCTTGTGTCCATTAATTGCCTCTAAGACTTTTTTTCCAGAACCCAAAATAATTGGATTAATTCAACTCTGGGCCTTCATTAGTATTAGCTTGTGATTGGGTTAGCAAATTGTGACATAAATTGAGGATGTGTTATATTCCTTATAACAGCAATAATAATAACAGTGATAGTATTTGAATACCTATGGGGATATAGGTCTGGCATCTGGGTTTGTAAGCTCAGCTTTATAATAACAGATATTCTATAATGAACTCAGTCTCCAGCTTCTGCTGAAATAGAAAGTATCATCTCTGGTCACAAATGCCTCAGTTGACTACATAATACAAATGAATCACCACACAAAGATCTAGCCATAAAGGCAGTAATTAAAAATCTCCCTCTATTAGAATTTTAAGATGTTGATCTCCCTCTACTAGAATTTAAAACAAGCTATCACAAAGAGAGTAAGGTAAATATTTGATTTAATGGACTTCAGTTTAGCAGACTGTGGATTTAATAGATAAAATCTTCTGGAGTATTGTTCACATTTCAGTAAATAATGGAATTTGCCCCAAACAATAGACAAAAATCATTCTTTGGTAAACAAGTCCGGACAATGTTTCCCTCCTTCCAAAGGCAGTATTCACTATCTAAATTACCCCTCTTTCTTTAAAATACATTGAATTAGAAAAAAAGAAAAACCAGCACCTCCCCTGACTGAAATATAATATATTTTGGGTCACCACTATCAACCCCTGCAGTTTATGAGAGTTATAATTATTATGATCAGTAAAGTATATTTCCCCATGTGTGAGTGTATTTGGAAGCTTGAAAAAGCCCATTTGTCATTTAATGGACATTTGGTTTTTAATAGACAACTTTCTCTCCCATTAGTCTGTTTAACTGAGAGTTGCAATATATAATATAAAGATCCAGCAATTGTGAAACAAACTCAGTGAATAAGGTTTCAGTGCCTAAACAACCACAGTGGAAACCTATGCAAGACTGAGAAAGCAATCACGGGCTGAAATTAAGAGACTGTTTAGGCAAAAGGCAAATCTAGACTTGTAAAATACCTCCACATAAACTATCTCTTAACCATAATTCAGTGAAAGTAGAGGTACAGATATAAGCATAAAATCGAGGAAGCGTATGCAGTTGTTATTACAACTTATTCCTTCCTGGACAAATACTGGAACGTTTTCTTTGTTCTGTCCTGTTGAGAAACCTAATCACAGAAACAAACCTGAAAAAACCCATGACTTATTCCTCCCTTTAATGATTAGTAGGTTGCCACCAGATGATAAAAGAATCTTAAAAGGAAATCTAAAAAAAAAACAGTGGCAATCACTGCCAAGCTACGTGGTGCTGCAGGGATCGGCCAGTACATACAATTGGATGGCTTAACGAAGGTTTATAAACTATAGTAAACATGTTGTCTGAATTCATTTAATGATTCTCATAATCATATTTACTCACTTGTCTGCTTTTTGTTCCCTTTCCTGAAAATATGTCCAGTTCTAGGTTTTTGGCATGATGCCCTAGGCACTGTGCAAATAATTTAATAATATGTTGTTGTTGAAGGCTTTCACAGCCAGCATACAATGGCTGGTGTGGGTCTTCCGGGGTGTGTGGCCGTGGTCTTGAAGTTTTGTTTCCTAACGTTTCGGCAGCACCTGTGAC